TGAAAGGAGATTGTAGAGAGGTGGGTGTTGGTCTCTTCTCCCAAGTAACAAGCAATAGGACAAGAGGAAATGTCCTCAAGTTGCACCAGGGGAGGTTTAGATTGGATATTAGGAAAGATTTCTTCACCAAAAGGGTTGTCAAGCATTGGAACAGGCATCCCAGGGAAGTGGTCAAGTCACCGTCCCTGGAGGTATTTAAAAGTTGTGTAGATGTGTTGGTTCAGGACATGGTTTAGTGGTGGAATTGGCAGTGTTAGATTAATGGTTGGGCTTGATCATGTCAAAGGTCTTTTCCAACCTAAATGATTCTATGATCCTCTCACTGGCCAGTTGTTCCCCATCCTCTGCAGTTTTGCTGCTTCTAAATTCAGGTCTCTGCAGTTGACCTGGTTTATGTATCATCTTACTTTCTTTGTCAAGCGTCAGTTCTGTTTTTTTAAGATTGTTCTGAATGGTGAACCTATGTCATCTAACTTTGCTATTTGGTGTCGTGTGTGTTTAATGAGGCTACTCCCCGTTCCATCACCTAGCTCAATGATCAAATACAAATGAAGAGAGCAGAGCTTGCTAGACCCCACACAACTTCTTTGGTTATGCCAACAGTCCACTGGGTGTATTTTTTCCGATTAAAAAAAAAAATATCATCTCCAATACATTTCTTCTGCCATGCAATGAAGCTCATAAAGGCATACAGCTGTAATACCTTCTATTTTTCTGCTAACTCCACTGCCTGCTAACTTGTTGCATAAAGAAGTTAATGTCGGTTTGGTATGACTCATTGCCAGATACATGCTGGCTGTTACTGTGTTTTTAACCATCAGATACTTTCAGTGGATTTATTCCAGTGTTTTTGCAGGAGATGGAAATAAAGCTGATGTGTTTGCAATTTTCTTACTCTTCCTTTCGCCACCCATTTAGTAAATAGGCATAAGAGAGGTCCTTCAGTCTGCCAAGGGTGCCATGAATGGCTCTCAGGCTGCTTCAGGCAGTGGCTCAGGCATCATAGAAGAAAAATTGCAGAATTCTAGAACCACTGAGGTGGGAAGGAGCCTCTGGATGGCATGTCTAACAACCCCCCTCCTCAGAGCAGGATCACCTAGAGCTGGTTGCTCAGGCCCATGTTTAGTCAAGACTTGAATATCTCCAAGGATGGGGACTCCACAACCTCTCTGCATAGCCTGTACCTCTGCCGGTGTTTGACCACCCTCACCATAAAAAGAGCACAAACAAAACAAACAGCTTTTTTTTTTTTTTTTTTTTTTTTTTTTTCTTTTTTAACTGGAATTTCCTGTATTTCAATTCATCCCCATTGTCTCTCGTCCTGTCACCAAGTACCATGGAGAAGTCTGGCTCCATTGTGTTTGCTTTCACCCATTAGACATTTATACACATTAATAAACCCCACCTGAGCCTTCCCTCCTCCAGGGTGAACAGACCCAACTCCGTCAGCCTCTCCTCATATGTCAGATGCTCCCATCCCTTAATCATCTTCATGATTATTTGTTTGATTCGCACCAACATATCCATATCTATCCCCCTTTTCCATTTCTTTCCAGGATGCTCATGTCTGTCTCAGTCAAACTCAACTTTAAAACATCTAACTTGTCTGTTCTCTAACCTATTTCTTCCATGCTGAAATCTTTACCTTTCATTCTTACTACTAATTATGCTGGTCATTTGAATGTCCCTCTAAATGGAGATTGATGTATATAGGGGAACTCTTTAAATAGTTTTGACTGCTTAGTTTTACCTGCCGGTATCTTTCCCAATCCAAGAAACATGGACGGGACTTTTTTTTTGAGATCCTACACCCTCCTATTATATTCACTGCATGATTGGCTTCTACAGGATATGCAAAGCAAGGAGGAGTTACACATCATTAAAATACAAATTAATGCCTCTGGCAGGATGGATGTCCTTTAGTCTGGATTAGGTGTGGTTGTTCCTTCATTTGGATTTTAGTTGATGATGACAAAGCTGTGATAAAATCTGTGGGCTTTTTTTTTTTTTTTTTTTTTCCTTTTTTTTTTTTTTTTTTTTCCCTGCAGCTAGTATGTTAGGCAATGCTTGTTCCAGTTTGTACAAACTGCCTTCACAGTAAATTGGACAAGTGTCCCTAAGGAGCAGTAGACAAAAGACTTGGGAGGTGCCATGGGAATGGGGAGGGAAATGCTTTTATTGCCGATCAAATTAAAGGTATTTAGATCTGCTGTTAAGTTTTCCTATAAATATATTACTGTGGGGTAAGAGTGTGGTTCCAGAGCTGTGTGAATAAGGGATATTTCAATGGCTTAGTAGGATGGGGTGGGAAGTGGTTGTTTCTAAAAAGGTTGGTTAAAGTAAAACAAAATATTTAATTTTCAGTTCATTCTTTTATTTTTTTTTTCCCCCCTTACAGGGATAAAAGTTTTAAAATGGAAGCATGCTTTGTAAATGATAAATCAACACAATACATTTGGAGTGCTCTGGAAGCCTTCCTTCTCTCCCCCTTTCACACCACTGTGTTGGGGAAAAAATAGATGCATTCACTGTTTGCCAAAGAAGCACTTGCCCATTTGCAATCAAGTCATTTTACGACATGGTGTAGACTCACTCCACGTTTGTTGTATATGGCCTTGGGGAAGTCGTGGCAGCAAATGCTTCCACTTGCTTATCTCTAAAAAGAAAGAATAGGTCAGGACCAACCTCTCTACAGAGACAGTTTTCAAGCTGTTTTGTTGTCCCTCTTCCCTGCTTACAGAACTCTTAATCTGTAGCCATGCTGGGAGGTAAAGAAAATAAGATAAGTCCTTATCCCTGCCTAGAAAATTTCTTGTAGTTGTCTTTTACGCGCCCTTGTTTTTCCAGTTAAGACTCTTGGTAGATCTTGGGTTGTATTTTGCAATGGAGACTGTGTTGGTGTAGTAGTTGTAGGCTAACCTGAGACCTGGGAGAGGCAACAATTTTTTCCCAAGTCCGTTACAGACTCCCTCATCTGTTCCTTGTAGTGTTTAATGATTGCAAAGAAGAACTTCTGTCAAGACATCATAGATTATGTTGTTGTGATACTTACAGTTTTTCATGCTTGACATGATTGATTGTTGTGTTGTGAGTGTCTTGGAAATCCTTGGTTTGCAGATAGCTTCTTTTAACTTTCTGTCTTGTTTACTTTATTTTCGGTCTCCTCGATGCACACACAAATACAGGCACTTATCCTTCTATCTGGTTGGGCTATTGCATTTTGGCTACCCTAGGCCTGGGCATGAAGGCTGTTTTCTTGAAATGAGGGATTTATGGCCTCGGGGCACCTGCAGCCTCAGATGCCAATTATGTGTGTATGTGGTACACTGAGGCTGGGTGGGGAAGCTATAGCCTGGATTTTCTCCACTTTTAATGAATTTAGCCCCCATCTCTTGGTCTCTCAAGGTAGTTGCACTTTCATCCTCATTTATGTGTCTGGCCCAATTAAGGGAGGATGGTGAGTGATTTCCTTTATTCCTAGAGTTTCCCTGTCTGACAATTCTCAGCACCATTTTTTTGTTGGTTTTGAAACTTTGAAAAAAAAAAAAAAAGGAGAACGAAGTACAAGTGGTGCCTGAGACCATTAGTCTGTTCCCAGTACCATCCAGAACTGGGAAATTCTGGTGCTTTGCTGTCTATGGAGGACAAACTGAACTACACCTCTGTGTCAGTATACCCCAAAAGAGGCTTCAGCCCTTTGCTGATGTATCTATCAATGCATACATCAGGACATCATGTAACACATGTCAAGAAGCTCATACACACTGGAGGCCATTCCCAGCTCTGCACATCAGAGGGAAGGTGCCTGGTCCAGGCCATGTGCAGTTTGAGAATCCAAGCACAGAATGAAGCATTGATCTCATCTCATCCAGCCTTATTACCCCAGCATCTTCTGCCATTGCACTGGAGGGGTTGCACATCCTTGTTGGAAAGGATGGGTTTATGGCCCAGGTTCTCCTTCAGTCAACAAGTGACATTTATAAGACAGAGAAACTCACTACATGGAGAGCAGATGGCATTACCAGTCATTTAACTCTGACTCGTCCACTGAACTGCAACATCACTGCATGGCTGCTTGGTGAAGGGCTACCCAGTAGGCAGCATTGTCTTGTACCTTTTCAGGTGGTAGACATACCTGTTTGGGGTGTTTTTTTCATAGCATAGGTGTAAGAAAGCAGCGGCTGGGTTTGGTCCTGTATCATGCCCCAACTGATGCAGCACCTTTATCTCTTCTCGTCCTTTGCCATCATTATCTCCATGGTTTAGGGATTAACTATTTTTAATATCGAAGTCCTGGGACCTTGCTGATATGCTGGAGGCTATCTGGGGCCTATGATAAGACAACACCTTTAGATAGGGAGGTGGGAAGGGGGAAAAAGTAGTATTTCTTTGACATCGCTGCATTCGTTTCATTCTGCTTCTGCTACCTTAGGCCTTGCAGGTTTTTTTTTGGCCTTTCTTTTTTTTTTTTTTTTAAACCAGAAAGAAAAAATAACTCTGACTTCAATATTTATACTAGAGACCCAGGAGCTTATAATATAGCAGTAAACTGTCTCTTTTGAGAGCTCATCAAGACTGCAGTATGATGGATAGACTCCTAGCCAGCTGCACGGTGGTAATGTTCCAGAAGACAGCATTACCTTTTTTTGATAGAGTACCTACTCTTTGCCTACCAGCTCAGGATCTCAAAGCACTTTGTAAAAAGCAAGAAATTAAAAGTCTTGCCATGGCTGAAACAGATAAACAGTTGTCCTTATCACTGAAGAAAATAAGGCACAGGGAAGTCAAATTACTTGTTTGCCCCCAAGATCAGATGTAGTCCAGGAGACATGGGTTTTAGTGCTTTTATTTTTCACAGGTGGGCATCCTGAAGTTTGGGGATAGTCCTGTATTTTTTTATTTGCTGCTTTTTTTAAAAAAAAAAAAAAAAAAAGATAGAATACTGGGGTTTAACTGACTTTTAACAGTGTTGTATCTGTCTTTTTTTCCTGTTTTCTTAGGTTTGAACTATAATAGTGCATCCATTGCTATCTAGAAAATGTCTTATGGATCCATTGATGGGAGTGGATTTGGGAGCAGGAATCCATTTGGAGGCCCTTCAAGACAAGGCTATCAACCTCTTGGTAAAGTATTGATCCCTTGCTGTAATTTATTCTTCTTGACTCCCTGGAGACTGAAGTTTTACTTGCTCATGCTTAGTGTGGCTGGTGCATAAATATCACACTCTCTTCAGAGCTCATTTCTGGTAGTGATTTTCAGAAGTGAAACCGAAACGTCTATTGGATTTGATTTATATGATCAGGCACCACGTCTTACCATGTGGTGAGTTGACCTTGGCTGGATGGTGGGTGCCCACCAAACTGCTCTATCACTCCCCTCCTCAGCAGGACAGGGCAGTGGGGGGAGGAAAAAAGATGGAAAAAAAAAAAAAAAAAACAACTTGTGGACCAAGACAAAGGGAGTTTAATAAAGCAAAAGGAAAGCCCGTGCATGGAAGCAAAGGCAAACCAGAGAGTTCTACTCAACTTCCCATCAGCAGGTAATGTCCAGCCACTTCCCAGAAGGTGGGGCTTCAAATACAGGTAGCAGTTGCTCTAGAAGACAAATATTGAAATAATGAATGCCACCCCTCCTCCTTTCTCAGCTTTTATTGCTGAGCAGAAGTCATATGGTATAGAATATCCCTTTAGTCAGCTGTCCTAACTGTGTCCCCTCCCAACATCTTGCCTCCCAACCAGCCTACTGGGTGAAGCAGGGGGAATGTTGGAGGGGATGGCCTTGGTGTTGTGCAAGCGCTGCTCATCAGTAGCCAATGCACTGGTGTGTTACCAACATCTTTTCTAGCTAACAGTACAAAGCACAGCACTATGAGGGCAGCTATGGGGAAAAATAACTCCATCTCAGTCAAACCCAATACATATGATCAGGACTTGAGGCTGCAATGTAGAAGAGTCGTGCTGATGAGGATTTTGGATGTGTTTTGGGGGGACTAGGAGAAGAAATGTGGAATATGCCCTAGACTTGCTTGCGTCTTTCCTCATCTCCTCAGCGTCTTTTCAAGAAGTTTGTCTAAATGGTTGTTTTATGGCTGGCTGTGGCTGAACTGATGATGGGATTATATGTGAAGATGTGCAAAGGGCAGCAGGCTGTGCTTCCACAGAGGGTAACTTAACTGTTATGGAAGCTGCTTGAATCTGGTAAATGTGCTGGAATGTGACAACAGGGTCAAAAACTTGCCCAGGAAATGCTGAACCCATGAACAGTGGCTTGCAAATGGTTGTGGACACTTTTTTTTTGTGGCGTTTTTTTTTTTTAGCAAAGACCAGATGTGCTTTCCTTACCTGTTTTCCCCTTGTCCCGAAGGACTCTAGAAATACTGAAGTAGAAGAGAAAAGCATCTAGGTGTCAACCTGTGTATCCGAAATGGTCCCAAATGTACAAGTCAAAGCTGCACTTCACAAAAGCAAATTCATAATGTAACTGTTGTAACATAGAATCATAGAATCGTTTGGGTTGGAAGGGACCTTGAAAGACCATCTAGTTTCAACCCCACTGCTATGAGCAGGGACACCTTCCACTAAACCAGATTGCTTCAAGTCCCATCCAACCTGGCCTTGAACCCTTCCAGAGAGGGGGCAGCCACAGCTGCTCTGGGCAACTGGTTCCAATGCCTCACCACCCACACAGGGAAGAATTTCTTCCTTATATCTAATCTAAATCTACCCTATTTCAGTTTAAAACCATCACCCCTCGTCATATCCCCACCCCTGATCCAGAGTCCCTCCCCACCTTTCCTGTCCCCCCTTTAAGCCCTGGGAGGCCGCTCGAAGGGCTCCCCAGACCCTTCTCTTCTCCAGGCTGAACCCCCCCAACTCTCTCAGCCCGGCCCCCCAGGGGAGCTGCTCCAGCCCCCCCAGCATCTCCGTGGCCTCCTCTGGCCCCGCTCGAGCAGCTCCGGGTCCTTCTGCTGTTGGGGGCCCCCGAGCTGGCCCCAGCACTGCAGATGGGGTCTCATGAAAGCAGAGTAGAGGGGGAGATTGCAAATGTTCTTCAGGAAACATTTCACTGTTTTGCAAATAGCTGTTCCCCCTGGATGGAAATATAAAAGGAGCATAGAGGTTTCTCTTGGTTTTGTGTTTTCTTATGACTCTGAGTGTAATTATGATTATTTTTTTTTGAAAAGGGAGAAGGTATTGAAGTAAGTGTGAGTTATCTGTTCAGTAGAAAATAGTGATTTTTAGGCTATTCTACAAGGCAAAATTAAAGGCGTAAAACCAAGAAAGAATGAGATACTTGGGCACAGTGAAAGAACCATAAGAAAAGAGATTGAAATGCGGACTAGACAAATGATGAATCTGAATGCATTGTAGTTTAGGTTAAAAAAATATGAATACTTATTGTTCTATATGAAAGGACCACTATTTTTAATGCAAATGCACAGAATAATTCACTTTCAGTCTCTAAATATTTTAGGAGATACTTCATTGTGCCCAGCTTGCCCATCATTTGATCGTTACTTGAAGCCACCCTCAAGCAGCTGACACAGAAACATCAGTTTTCTTGAGAGCACCATGGTTTGCTGCCTGGCTGGAGCCTATTAACATGTTGGCTTATGTCTTGCAGTTGAATTCTGGCTTCCCCTCCATGCCTGCACACACAGTCTTGGGTGGCATCGCGATGAGAGCATCTCTAAGGTCCTCCAGAGCTGATTTTCCCAGCAAGCCAAAATTGGTTGCAGACTTACTAAATACTGAGTTGGCCCCTTGACTAGGCATCCCTGTGGAAAGGATTGAAAGGGAAGGAACTTGACTACATTGGCCAAGGGCAACTTGGAGAAAATTTTCTTTTTTCTGTGTGTCTCAGAGATGTTACATCTGAACTTGCGTAGCTCTCCATGCCCCTTCGCCGTGGAAGACTGAGTAACACGTGCTGGATGTCTTTTGTTGTAGTATCCCCAAATATTGTCATTAATTAAGTGTCAGGAGAGAGTTATGCAACACTAATTGTCTGCCTCCAGCTTCTGAAAGACAGGTGAATGGCTTGCTAAGAAAAACTGCCCACTGCATTAGATCATGGTATGGCTGGAACAAAAGAGCGTGGCTTTCCTGCCTGTGTACGTATGTCTGCTCACAGTGGGGGCAGACCTTGATGGACATGTTCTGCGTGTGCTTCAAACCTCCTCTTCTTTTTATATCTAATAAATAAATAAAACCAGGTACCAGCATCCCTGCGGATAGTTACTGTCTGACAGTAGCATATGGTCCAGTGGTAATATTCAGACACCCAACAGAAAAACCTGAGATGCTGCAAAAATAAAGGTGATGGGGATGGCACTGCTTAATAACCTCTCAGTAATAAATTGTCATGGAAGTCACATACAAAGAAGAAGCAGTTTTCGGCAGCGCCAACTCACCCAAGGACCCAGAGGCTTGTCACAACAAGTGGTTGTACAGTGGGATGGGAACAAAAAAAAATGCTGGGGACTTAATTTTTGAAATCTTCAATTTCATGAAAGAGAACAAAGAAAAGAGGGCTCAGGTTTTGTTTGGGTTTTTTTAAATGAGGTGTATTACTACCAAGATGGTGTCATCTGTCCTAATACCCATCCATCCATCTTGGCTGCGTTTCCTCCATGCTCAATCCAGATGTGCTCCCCAGGCTGGGAAAGATTAATTACTTCACGGTTCCTCCCTTGGCCCTGGACTGATGCAATGATGGATGGACTTACATCCCATCATCAGGCCGCGTGGCGGTTGCCCTTGCTGACCAGCCGAATTAGAGAGATCCGCAGGCTCTGTTTGGAGCAGTTTTGAGGGGAATCCCAATGGCAATTTTTTAGGGGAATTTGGTTTGCCTGGGACTCCTGGGTGTCAGACAACTGTGGTTACAACTCTGCTTTTCCTGGTGTTGCTGGATATCCAGGATTTCTTGAGGGGAAAAAACAATTATACTTTTTTTTTTTTTTTTTTTTTTTCTATTGGAAATTGTTAGGAGGAAAGAGAGACTGTGCTCAGCGAAACTTAAATGTTCTGTAGCCTTAACCAAGGAGTACCCTAAGGTGTGTCACAAGGGTGACCACCAGATTACTTGGAGTATAGCAGTTTTGGGGGTTGACAGTGTCATCCCACAGCCACTGAAGAACAGTGAGGAGTAGCAAGTGGAGGCATAAGTCATGTTTTGTTGCATGGTTTGCAGTTGTGAGTTATGACCTCCTCCATCAGAATCTGCATTTCATATCCTTGCTCTGCTCCCAAAAATCCATGTAAACCCAACTGTTTCCCTGTTTCCTTGTAGGAGCTTCTCTGGGCTTCGGCCGTGCATTGTTGTATAGAGAAGTCGGAAAGTAGGTAATAGAAAATTGTTGTGTTTTTTTTCTTTTTTAACCTGAGAAATGAAAAAGATTGAAATTACTTCAAAAAAAAATTTGTTAAGTAATGTGACGTGTCTAAAATAAACAGAAACCAAACACTGTATAGCAGCAGAAATTAAACCCTGAATTCTTACAGTTTTGATGTGTGCAAACATGCACTCTACCGTGTTCACCCTATTTTCCTAAATCCATCTTTTTGTGAGGAAAATGAACAAAAGCTGCTGTCCAGAGGGGAGGCATAGAGATCAGGGAATTCAAATAGCTTGAATTAAAATGCCACAAGCCAGGAAATTTTTAACACTGCTTTTATTAACCTTACTGTGCCCTGGACATTAAATCCCAGATTTGAGAGGGTGAGGGTAATTTCGTATTCCAGAGGTGCAATGTTTCTGGGTGCTCTCAAGGGACCATTGGGTCAGTGCTTAATTTTACTGTGACTTATGCTAGACCATTTTTCCTTTAGTTGCTCATGTAAGTATTGTGCGGGACAGTGGCCAGAGTTGTACTCAAGATATATCACCCATGCGTCTTTAGCCTTGTCTGCTAGGTTGGTTATCTTGTCACAGAACAAAATTAGATTGGTCCGTTCAAGTTGTTCTTGGCAGCATTTGCTGGGTATATATCACCTAATTACCATTTCGATACTTAGCAATTGTTAAATGATTTGTTCTAACATTTTTCCAGGAATCGGGTCTATAATTTTCTTTGCTCTCCCCTCTCTACTATTTACCTGCCTCTGTGGTGCACCAACCA